GTGTGTGTGTGTGTGTGTGTGTGTGAGAGAGAGAGAGAGAGAGAGAGAGAGAGAGAGAGAGAGAGAGAGAGAGAGAGAGATGAGGGGAGGGTTAGGGGAAAGCGTGTGGGGAGGGGATTAAAGGCACGCCACAACCATGACTGCATCACCCATCATATCTGTTTTTGCGAGAGAAGCCGCAACAGGTCATCTAGTAAAGAAATAAAACCACCACCAGTACGTCCAAAAGTTGTGGCACTAATGCCAAATGGCTGTCAGGTGGATGTACTGCCGGCCTCCCTTCGCCAGGTTAAATTCATTTGTGGTGAACCATCACTGTACTGTCGTGTTAGCTGCGAAAGGTACTGGTGGTTTTTAAAGCACCAGTACATGGGCACCTGGGCCGCAGCCCTGACACCTCAAATTCTGGAGGCATGGAACGAAAACGCAACCGCCGATCAAATTTATTAACGGCGGGCCCACCGTTTGACGTTTCGGCCTCGTCTTCTTGTGGCAACAAGTTTCGGGGACTGCAAGGCTAGTGCCTCAGACCTGTGTTTAACATTGGAATGACACAGAGACGTTTAGCATGGCCCCTGCGCAAGAATGACGCGCATGACTTCAGAAATGGTCCAAATAAATTAAAAAAAAAGAAAAATAGAGAGTTCTACTAGTCTTACCAGGCCCATGTGGCCAAGACTTGGCTCTTGAGTCCGAGGTCGTCGGTTCGAATTTGTGCTTGCGCGGAGGAGGGCGTGGGGCCCAGATGTACGGATCCATAACTACCATGTGGCTGATGGGGTGTGCATGGTAAGCAGTCCAATAATCCTGATGGCATCAGATGGATGGCATATGACAAGGCCTACCCCCTTAAAGAATGAAAAACTCAGACATGTTTTGACAAGGGTAATTATGAAAAGAAGAGGTCACTGTGAAAGGGGCTTCCAAAAAATAAAAATACTAACATGCTATGGCAGCTATGTAGGATGCTTTGACCTTTTTGCTATTAAAAAAAAAAAAAAAAAAAAAAGCATGCTTTTGACTTTTTCGGAAGTTTTTCCAAGTTTTTTGCATTGATTTGCGGCTTTGAAATCATGCCTGGCTGCATGGGCTTAGAGATCGTTTACCTCAATGAAAGGAGCAAACTCAGCAAAGCCATCTTTTTCTTGTCTTGTCCTTTGGGACATTCGGTGAAATTGGAACGATACAGAGAAAAAAGATTAGCATGGCCCCTGCGCAAGGGTGACACGCATAAATCGACATTTTTTTGTCCGGTCTTTGCTATCCAAAAAAAATAAAAAAAATCTTCTTCTCATCACCATTATCCCTCTTGTGTGAAATCTGGTTTCATGCATTGCAGGTGTGCGCCGATTGATCTGCATCGAAGCTGGCAGCAAGCGGGTAGAAGGCATCATATCATTAAGAGATATTTTCAGTTTTCTTCTGTCTTGATTGATGCTATTGGACATCGCTCCACTGCACAAGCTTCTAAATGTATTTTTGAACCTGCTAATGTTCCCGATACATTCAAAGTGTTCAGTTGTGCCAAATGTATCTGGTCAAGTTGTAATCCAGACACGTGTTGAATGTTGAGTAGCGGAGCCGGGCCCATTCTCTCGTGTCACAAGTTGATGTCCTCGTCATCTCGTCGGTAGAAGGTGTTGCGGATTAAAGTCTCGAACCAGGTTCAAAATCTGTACCAGCTGGATCAGCCTTACGTAGCGTGAGGGCCAAGGAATCTGGCCCAACTTCTGTAGCAGGTTCAATGTCTGCCGTACCCTCACCCGGCTTCCATAGCAGAAGAGGAGGATCAATTTGATCGGACCGTGCCAGTCTTGTCAGGCAAGCCTGACCTGCTGCACAAATATCGACGTTCTGGCTCGTTTTTGCTGGAGAAGGTGAACACATCACTCAACAAACAGCAAGTAAGCCGATAAATTAAGCAGTATGTGCTTCCATCCATCCGACAACCGCATTTCTTGATGCGCCGTTTCTATCACGAATGGTTATGGGCGATCTTCTTTCGGCATGTGGATATCGTGTTTGTTGAGTCCTTAGTTGCAGTGTGCAGCACTGTGACAGCTCCATCTCAGCACTCAATTGCGCAAACGAACAACGGTAAGTCGCTGCTGCTTCCTCACTTTGTTGACTCGACGAAGTTTCTAGGCATTCATCTTTCACGACCTCTCTTCGGTCTCTTTTTTTAACAAGATCAGCCCACAAGGTGCCTTTTGACCTGGCACCTACTGTAATCCATTGTTACCTTTGCAGACGCACACACACACACACACACACACACAGAGAGAGAGAGAGAGAGAGAGAGAGAGAGAGAGAGAGAGAGAGATGCCTCATGGCATTCCTAAGATATGCAGCTTCTGGGCATCTGGATGTAGAAAGCGCACCGTCATTGCATTCCCTCACTGGGAGTCTAGCTTTTATCCTTGTGTGTGTGTGTGTGATGATGATGTGTGTGTGTTATGATGTGTGTTTGTGTGTAAATGTGTGTGTGTGTGTTTTGACGGTCGGTGTTCATTAGTTACAAGCGGCAATCCCGGTGGTTTGACGGGTGTGGTTAGGGTTCATTTGTCTCCTCTGCTTTTGCTTCGGAGAGTCGATAGTAGTTAGTCTCCCGGCCGTTGATATTGTCCTTCGGCAGAGGCCGACAGGTGTAGCTAAAAGTCTTAGCCTCCATGATCAGGTAACATAGGGGATGTATGAGAGACTCGTACTGCGAGGAGATTGTGGACCTGCAAAGCAATTCCGCAGCAGGCTCCGGATCCCATAATGTGTGTTTACTACCCGTGACTGGCGCATCCACCCTCTCCCGTGTCCCGCGGGAGCTTGAGTGCTACTAGAGGGCTGGGAAGGCCGCGTAAACTGTCTATGATGCCAGGTCGACATCACAGGACAAAAACAGCAATGAGAGACGTCACGGTCACATTATAACAGTCGACACTTCAGGATGGGGACAATACCTGACTGGCACTTTTTTTAATCTGAATGAACTTTGTGACCATCGTTTCCTCGTTGATTTGAACAGTTGAGATTGCCAATTCAGCATTGATATCGGGAAGTCGGCGTCGATGTCACTGACCCAGCGCCGTCGTTGCGAGGTCGTCAATGTCACGCTATATGATGCGCACATAAAGGTTGGCTATCAGGAGGGATCGGCACGTCATGACGAAGGTGAGTCCTATGTGATGCTTATCAAGGAGTAATGAAATTTGGTATGGATCACATCAGCGTCAAAACGAGAACGTTGGGGCCTTCAACAAGCTTGTATATCAGGACTCCAGGATGCACGTGTAAAGAAGGTTGGGATACCAGAACAGTTGAGCGGTTCATGGGTCCAGATGAGTATATGTTTGTTTGTTGCTTTCTTGTTAAGCAGGAGTGAAGATGATATTCACATGTCAGCCTTGATCTTGCCAAGTCAGCATCAGTGTTGCCAAATGAGCATCAGTGTTGTCGAGTCAGCATGAGTGTGGCCAAGTCAGCGTCGGTGTGGCCAAGTCAGAGTCAGTGTGGCCAAGTCGACACTCAAGGATGCACGCATAAAGAAGGCTGGGCCAGTCAGGTCAGATCAGCGCTTCACAGTGCAGGTGAGTCTGTACGATGGTTTATTGTATTGTAACGCAGGAGTCCTGAGTGAAGTTGATAAATCCGCATCAGCGTTGCCGAGTAAGCACCAGTGTGCCGAAGTCAGCATCAGTGTGGCCAAATCAACACTCCAGGACACAGACTGTGTGGACGAGTCTGTATGATGCTTTCCTGTAAAAGCAGGAGTCCTGAGTGAAGTTGATAAATCCGCATCAGTGTTGTCGAGTCAGCATCAGTGTGACCAAGCTAACACTAGAGGATGCACACATAAAGAAGGCTGGGGCAGTCAGGTCAGATGAGCACTTCACGGTGCAGTTGAGTCGGTACGATGCCTTCTTGTCGCCAAGTCAGCATCAGTTCAGCCAAGTCAGCATCAGTGTCGCCAAGTTAACACTACAGGATGCACACATATAGAAGGCTGGGGTGGTCAGGTCGGATCAGCGTTTCGCGGTGCAGGTGAGTCTGTACGATGCTTTTATGGAGGACTGACATTTCAAATTTGATATTGCCATAGCATCAGTATAGGGAAATCAGCATTTCAAATTTGATATTGCCAGGTCAGCGTCAGTCTTACCAAGTCAGCACTCCAGGATGCGCGCGTGAAGGTTGGCGTGTAAGGACAGACGAGCGCTTCATGGTGCAGGTCAGTCTGTATGAAGCGAAGCAATCCTTGGCTTGGAGGGGGGGGGGGGAGGTTGGCGTGCAAGGACAGATGAGCGCTTCATGGTGCAGGTGAGTCTGTATCATGCTTTTTATCGAGGACTGAAAATTTCAAATTTCGTCGTGAAGGTTGGCGAACTTGGCATGTAAGGACAGATAAGCGCTTCATGGTGCAGGTGAGTCTGTATGAAGCGAAGTGATCCTTGGTTTGAAAAAAAAAAAAAGGTTGGCGTGTAAGGACAAATGAGCGCTCCATGGTGCAGGTGAGTCTGTATGATGCCTTTTATCTAGGACTGAAGTTTCAAATTTCATATTTCCGTGTCAGCATCAATAGAGGGAAGTCAGCATTGATCTTGCCAAGTCAGCATCGGTGTTGCTATGTCAGCACTCCAGGATTCACACCTGACGGTTGGCGTATCAGGATGAATCTAGACTCAATGGTCAACCGGATGAATCTAGACTCAATGATGGGCTGGATTGTGAAGTTTGCAAGGTGCCATCAAGCTATACCATCACGTCCAGGGCGGTAGGTATTATATCAGCAGAAAAAGTCATAATGGCATATCTCTCCTAAGTACCCAAATTCATGCCGCGAAATGGAAGGCACAAAATCAAGTCTCTTGGGTTATGGATGTAGGATCATTAACCCCTTTTCTTTGGGCTTGTGACGAACGAGAAAATTTGTTAGAATTTTACGAAAGAGTTTCGGGAGCATTCCCTCTGAGGCCGTACTCACATTAGCACCATCCTAAATGTATCTGATCACATTTACAGCCAGGCGTGGACGCATCTGACCGAAATAATAGGTATTATATCAGCTATGGATGTAGGATCATTAACCCCTTTTCTGTGGGCTTTTGTGACGAACGAGAAAATTTGTTAGAATGTTACGAAAGAGTTTCGGGAGCATTCCCTCTGAGGCCGTACTCACATTAGCACCATCCTAAATGTATCTGATCACATTTACAGCCAGGCGTGGACGCATCTGACCGAACATTATCGAACGATGATTCGTGGCGGAGAGCCGTATGATGGGAAACGATCACTTGCGGCTCGGAGGGTGGGAAAAACACAACTCCCGACCCCTATCTATGATAAGTAATGGAGTTCTTGGATTTATTGTGTGCGCTCAAGATGGGTCCCTCTAAAGGTAACCTGAGAGAGTTCAGTCACTCCGCGATATGCTGGAAACGCCTTCCGAGTTGGAACTTCCAAACTCAAAGGTCAATCAGCAGGCTCAAAAATAAGCAAAGAAGTCCTACCATAGTGTGAGTATGGCCCAAGGGTGGTAGGTAGATGATTGTGTCCCTCTCTTTTTTTGCATCAGCCGCGAGCGTTTCTTTGTTTTCTTTTTGAAGTCTGTTTTCATGTCGTCGTCTTGATGGTGTTTCTTTTTGTCGCGTGTGGTTAGTCTCGGGTTGGGAAGAAGAACACACTCGTTTGAATATTTTCGAGGCAGACACTTCTTAGGTCTGACTCTAGTTTTTTTTGTTTTTGTTTTTGACTGACCTACTGACTCTTATCTTTGAATGCCCCTCTCTTTTTTATTTTTTCGTTTCCTTTTTTTCATTACGCCCTTGTAGTATGGAGGTTGAATACCAACGGGCCTAGTTGCAGTTGTTACACCGTACACCCATGAAGTGGTGAAATGCATACCTGAGTTCGAATCCAGATGGAACTGGATGAATGAAAAAAAAAAGTATGGAAGGGTCAAACCGTTCGGTGCGGCTCAGGCGCCCGCCGTCGTTTGTATATAAAATATTATAAATATATCGAAATGTCAGGATACATGAACTGGTAAGGAGACCCACAGAGGAGCGAGGGTAATTGCTCAATTCGCGGCGCGAGGCGTCGAGGGTTCATCCAGCACAAGAGAAACGACCAAGCGTTGGGATTTGTTCCTGTCTCCCTTTGGTCGGGAACAGTATTCCTTCACAGGTTCAAATCCTGTAGGATGCTGAATTCTTCGGGAGAGTGGCCTAGTGGTTAAAAGCGACAGACTGATTTCTTTTCACCGTTTTCGGTAATAATATGGAGTCAATCGATGGGCCTAGCTCAGTTGGTACATTAATGAACTGTTGGAATACAGACCTGAGTTCGAGTCCAAATGGATGATAGTCAAGCGATGAATCGATCGGAAGGGGGAAGTCTACTATCAGCCGAGGAAGATAGGTGAACAACATCACACGAACGGAATGTTAGACTAGAATCACTAGATTGCGGCTGATTGTCTATCCGTTTGATTTTCGTACTGCTAGTTATCTAACAAAGTTTGAATTCCTTTCGAAAAGCAGAGTTGGGACAGGTGTGTTTGTGTGTGTGTGTGTGTGTGTGTGTGTGTGTGTGTGTGTGTGTGTGTGCGTGCGTGCGTGCGAGCGTGCGTGGGGGCAGCGGGGGCGTTGGGAGGTGTTGTTTTGGAGTGTGGAACAGGCCTGAACATTGTGTCATTGACAATATTTTGTTCAGATTATTCACACTAAGGGTTTGGAATTTGAATGCGCTTTGACTTTTAAAACTTGACTTCACTAGTCGTCAGCAGTGGTTCAGACACTCCGTTTATTGTTGGCTCATTTTGAATATCATTATGGGTCTGATCAATTCTTTCAATCCTAAATTCTTATAAAGAAAACAGTGGGCCTTGCATGAGTCTGTCCTGCGAGACACTTTCCCCACTGGGCCCAGGTCCACGCGCTTTTTTTCCCCTTCAGCTTTGGCGCCAGACCCGACGCAGCGCCCGCATGTAGACACGAATATGGCGTGGTGCAGAAAATTGGGAAGCGGTGGCGCGGGGCTTTGACCTGTCCTGTTCAGGTGCTGCACGCGGTGTTCTGTCCTGTTCAGGTGCTGCACGCGGTGTTCTGTTTTGTGTTTTTGGGGTGGCATTGGGCATGCGCCTCGTGGTGTTTTCCTTTGTGCTCCCCAGGGGATGTCAGGAAATAGTGCTGTGGTGTTTCGTTTTGCGCTCTCCATGCGCCGTCGCTAAACCGGGGTTGAGCAAGAGTGCTTCTGTGCTTGCATTTCTGGTATTTTGAGAAAGTGGTTTAAATCTCTTAATCTGTCCCGGGGAGGTGGAGGAGGGGAAGAGGAAGAGGCCGATGAGGAGGACATGGCGAAGAAACAGGGGTTGGTGGACTTGGAGGAAGCAGAGGGGGAGACGTATCGAGCACAGGACGGCGTGGCAGAAACGGGGGGAGATGAAGGGGAGGGGCATGGCCACATCGACCACGACGCCAGGAGGAGGAGGAGGAGGAGGATAGACCCATCCAGCACAGAACCCCACAGGAAGGGGGAGGAGGAGTTGGTGGGTTGGAATGGCGAAGGAGGAAGAGGTGATGGAGATGGAGGGATTGCGGAGGAGCAGGAGGAGGAGGAGGAAGAGGAAGCGGGTTGAACTCTTAATCTGTTATCGTGAAATCCTGACAATGAGGTGGAGTCTATGATCTTCCCCCGACTAGAACGCATGTATAGACGTGCGGCATCAATTGTCTTCTGCATATGTGTGGGAACGTTTAGCTTGCATACAGCAGCAACAGTAAATGTGTGTTCTTCTCGGGCGATGACGGCCCATGGCCACCAGAAAAAAACTGCTTTCTCTCTGTTCTCTTTCCCTGAATGGATCACATGTGCATCATGACAGTCAGTGGGAAAAAAAGGCAGAAAAATTGCACATATACTATTACAGTAAATGTTCCCAACATACTTGAAAGTTGAAAGCAATAAAAAAGAATTCCTGCGCTCATGTTTTTTTTTTCGCGATTCGACAACATATCCTTTTCTCCCTTTTTTTTTTTATTATAAGAAAGCTCGAGTCTATTTGTGGGAGGCAGCAGAAAGCGACAATGGCTGGAGGGCATGGGGAAGCCGGGAGGGCAGACGTCACTCAAACACAAAGAGCAGGCAAGGCAGAAAAAAAGACAAGTCCCAAAAAAGCAAAGACCAAAAAAAAAAAAAGGGTATTAACATTGGACCGACCGATCGGGAGGCTGAACCCTCGACAGTCTACGGAATCATGAACCCTCTGACCCTTGTTGACCGCAAACTGTCCCCAGGTGGAACATAGCAGCGCGCAGTAACCCTGCGAAGCACCAGGCAACGCAGCAGAGGCAACACGACTGCTCAACGCCAAAACGACTGCAAGGAACGACAGGGAAAGTGGACGAGTGGGACGGCAACAGTGCAGTGAAGCACAAAGCAACACCAACACAGCAGCCACACTACACGGCACGCAAGCAAGGCATGCGGACGGGAAGGCAAGCGGATGGGCAGCAATGAAGCAGTGCAGCGAAGCATGGGCTTGCCCATGCAAGACCACACAGTGAACACAACAGCTTGCCAAGAGCGACATGTGAAGCAAGTGGCATGGGCGGCAAGGCAGCGGCGGAGCGCAGACGAGGCAGTCTACACATCCTGCACACAGAAAAGCGGCACATGACCTACTCACATCACAGTTGAACCCCTGCAGACCGTTGGTTCCCACCACCGCTGAGCCAGGGAGTCACTCGGACGGACATCCGTCATCACCCACAGACCAGATGCACCACACAGACAATGTCAGACATCATGAACAGAGTGGTTCCCGTAAGAGTCCTGCCGGCACTCCGGACAATGGACCACGTACTGTTTAGCACTGCTTAAAGGTGCTCACTCAAACAGACGAAAAGTACTTGGACAAAAATAGGAGGAAGGACAAATGACAAGAGCAAGAAAGACAGATACATAAAACTGATCTTGTGTGTGTGTGTGCTTTGTGGTGTGTGTGTCAAGACACTTGATAGTACGGGAACCATACGATATGGGGTACGACAGTTATGACGGCAAACCTTGAGGGAGTCAAGTGCGGGAGTAACATCACTCGCAACAAGACTCCTCCGGTACCATGACCCAATTCTGGACACTTAGCAGCTTTTACCATACCCAGCAGGCTCCTTCTCATAGTTCCTAGATCAACCCCTTTTTTCACAGATCAGAACTAGACAAAAATGAGATTGACGAAAACAACTTCAAGAGAGACAAAAATGAGATTGACGAAAACAACTTCAAGAGAGAGGAGAACTCCCATTCGTTTGTACTCTGCCTAAAACGTAATCAGGGGGAGGGGTGTGAACCCCTATGCTATGGTTACGAGGACAGCAATGAAGGAGGATACACGATCCCTCGATGGGGTAGATGCAGCTGGTTTGCGTTTTTACATCCATTCTTTTGGGGTTGACGTGGCCTTTGTTGCTGCGCCTTGTACTAAGCGGTATCTCCTAAGTTTATAGGTTTATCGAGTCTTCCCTTGTCCCTTGAACCACCACTCCCCTCGACGTACGAAATTCGCCTTTTCGGGCCACATGAGCCGCGTTTGGGGGGAGGTCGACGACTGTTGTTGAAAAAAAGAAAAATGTGTGCGAAAGAGGAAAAAAAAAAAAAACGAACGAAAACAGAAAAGAACTATTTTTGGGCGTATTAAGCCTTGATTCATCATTGAACTGACCCAAGAGGAAAAGAACTCACCTCCTGTTGCTGAGTGAATCTCCAGGCCTCGCTGAAAAAGGGTGTTGCCACACTGCGCACCGAATGCACACAAGGGAAAGAAAAGAAGGCAGTGTATGTTCTTTCCCACAGAGAGGACGATTCATTCCCATTTCGCAACTATGGTGAGGAGTGGGGTGAGGCTCGGAGATCTGTTGCTGCCTCCTCGTCATTCATGGAATGGGAAAAGGTGTCGCTCCGCTGCTCACATATGTGCAAATGGGAATGAATCTTCCGCTAGAAAATGGAAAAAACTCGCCGTGGTATGATTCAGGGGTGACTGAAAAAGGGTGCCCCGACACCAGTCACCAATGCAAAAAAGAAAACAAAAAGGTTGTGCATCTTTCCCATATTAAGCGGAAGATTCATTCCCATTTTGCATATATCTGTAGTAGTGTAGCGAGGCTTGTAGATCCGTAGCTGCGTCCTTGTCTGACATCCCGGTGTCGGACCAAATACCCTTACAACTCATAAGGGTGTTTGCCCATGTTTTTGCAGGGCACAGAAGCTGAATCTGCAGTGGCAATTGAGACAGTGGTACGCCCACTTTTTGAAGCGGCAGCACTCGGTTTTCAGCAGTTAGGGGTTAGGGCGCTGTGACTGAATTAGATAGTGTGTGTGGGTTCCCCTTTTTTAAGGCGCATGTGGAATGACTATATGAATGCGGGTCAGTAGAGGTGCCGGCGTAGTTGTGCTTGCAGAAAAGTTTGCCATCGGTGCGACCGTCATCAAAGTTAACTCGGTCTTTAATTGTTGCCGCTCTTGCGAGTTGTGCTGGCCTATGTAGGACGGTGCCTGGGTCGGTAGACATTGGGTTAAAAGACGGGTCTTTTGCGTACACACCATTCGTATTATTTTGTTTGGCCGCCCGACCGTGGTAAAAACAATTGCGTGCAGCAGGTGGCCGAAGTAGCGAGGATGTGGCCTTTTAAAGTTGGTCGCTTCAGGGAGCTTGAGGTAATGGCGGCGCGTCGTCGGTGCAATTGCCGTGCAAGGGTTCGGCGGCCGCAGGTTCGGCCGATAGGTCAAGGTGCGGTCTTGCTCCATTTTTACAAGTCTGGCCACGAGGCGGATACCATTCATATGAAATCTGGCGCCTGAAACCTCCAAACTTGTGCCTAGCCCTATATATTGGACTTTCATTTAACAGATGTAGGGATCAAGGTCAGCGGGCAGCAGCGGAGCGAAAGAGTGTGATGGGAGAAAGCTGAGGGGTTGATGGTCCCGCATGACTATTCCCCTTAGTTTTTTTCACTTGCCCCCCCGTTCGTCACTGGTCCGATATATGGGACTTTGGGGGTGCCAACGGTTCCTTTTGTCTTTCTCTATTTTTATTTTTATTTTCTCTTACCTTTTTCAATTTTTATTTTTAATTTTTTTTTGACTGGGCCCGGCGTTTGTTTCAGGACCGGCAGTAGAACGGTACTAGAACCAGTTGGCCTAGCTCAATTGGTACACCCATGACCCGTTGAAATACAGATTTGAGTTCGAACTCGGCTTGAAGCAGCAAATGAGTAGAGTTACCGACGGCCGGTCAAGTTTCATGATGATATCCCGAAACTGTTTCACGGTCTGTGTCCTTCGAGATCCAAGTTACAATTGGGATGAAGTAGCGGATATTAGTATGGCCCCAGTGTAGAGAGGCTGAAGTCATCGTTATTTTTTTGTTGTTGTTTTCTTTCGTATTTAATGCCTGATTGTGGGTGGATGGGTGGCAAGCCGAGTTGACCTGCACCCGCTCGTGTGGCAAACCGTTAGCCTATAGGTCACAGCGGCCTGACTGCTAATGGGTTGTTTTGAGAGCTAGGAACGTGAGTCCGAGTCGTTTGGCTACGGGACTGATATAGGCTCATATAGCGCTGTTCGAGGAGATCGAGGGAAAGGAACAGGGAGGCGTTAACGAGGCTGACGAGGACTAAGACAAGGTAGAGGGGATGGAGGAATGAGAACAAACACGGAGGTAGAAGGTCGACAAAGGAAGAGGAAGAATGAAAGCGGGGGTGGCGCAGATGGAGGGAGAAAGAGGACCGATGAGGAAGGCAACAGGAAAGGAAAGCATGCGAAAGGAGGGAGTCATGCTATAATGGCTGCTATGCACTTTCGTTTGAGGTCGTTGTGGTCACCTTCAATTTGCGGTCGTCCTCTCCCCCTCCATAATCGCCCGGCTAATCCACTTCATGGTCATCCTTGCTTGTTTGTGATCATGTTCGTCCCCTCGCTTCGTCGAGGCTCGTTGTGCCTGCGTTCAGGCTTCCAATTTGTGCTCCTTGATCGTGCTTGCAAGAGTACGTGTATTTGGTCGGAGTATGAGCCACGTAGTTGGAAAGAGGGAGATGTCGAAGACGAACGGGGTGGGACGGGGAGAGTAAATAAGAGCTAGCGAGATCAATCCTCGCCCGTTTTCGTCGAGGAAACATTCGGATCTAAGGTTTTGGGAGTGGGCGAGTCCAATTCAGAAGCTTGTTTTGCCATTAGAGCGCTCACATAAGCACCCTGAGGCTCATAGGCTGCGCGCGCGAACAGTGAGGACAAGCGGGGCAAATTGGCGATGCGCCTTCCCATGATCTAGCGGAAGGTTCATCCTCAATGGGGCGAAGTATTTTTCCATGTACTAGTGGAATAATCGTTCTCATTTTGCACATTTGGTAAGTATTGGAGTGGTTCCTTGCGGTGGTGCCAACTGCCTGATGGAAGGTGGTGCTCGAGATAGCCATGTTGCTCGTGTTCGTGCTACTCGTGTTCGTCGACGGATCCAAGTGTTGCTCGTCATCACATCTTGACGGTGCTCGTCTCATTTAGGCGGTGTTTGTGGTGACATCGGCATTCGAAGTAGAGATCCTCTCCTTGTTGTGGTCATCCTGGTCGCTGGTATGCAATGTTGTTGTTGAAGTTTATACTGACGGGCGAAAAACAGCACCTCATCTTTTGGGGGTAAACGGCGGGAGTAACTATGACTATCTGAACTTCGAAAGAAATCAAATTCCTCTTTTTTTTTCAATCAATCAATCAATCAATTAATCAAGCATTCAAAGGTCCGCCGATTTCGATGGGTTGGATCTTTATTCAATCAAGATCCGTCGAAATCGACATATCTTGAATGAATGACAGATTGGTTGATTGATTGATTGATTGATTGATTGATTGATTTTAAAAAAACAAGAAGGAAGAGGAGGAAGAAGAGGAGGAGGAAGACGAGGAGGAAGAGGAGGAGGAGGACGACGAAGAGGAGAAAGGAGGGATGAAGAGGAGGACAAGGAGGTGGAAGATGAGGAGGAGGAAGAGGAGGGGGCGGATGAGGAAGAGGAGGAGGAAGAGGAGGAGGAGGAGGAAGAGGAGGAAGAAAAGGAAGAGGACGAAGAGGAGGAAGAAAAGGAAGAGGAGGAAGAAGAGGAGGAGGAGGAGGAGGAAGACGAGGAGGATGAAGAAGAGGAGGAGAAAGAGGAGGAGGACGGAGAAGGGGCGAACGCGGAGGAGAATGGGAGGGAGAAGGAGAGAGAGGAGGGGAATAAAGGGGGGTCGAGGGGGGGGGGGAAGGGCGCCGAGCCAGGGGAGTGTGAGGCAGATTGTCTTGCCTCAACCCCCTCTCACCCACTGTCCAGCCCCCTAACCCACTTTTTTTCCCCCCCCCTAAATCAATCATTCAATCAATCAATCAATCAATCAAACAAACAAACAAAAAAACAAAAAAACAAAATTGTTATCTAATCGAAGGGGGATACTATAATAGATAGTCGATGTGTTTTTCGCAAAAGATTCTCATATTTGAACCTGTGGTAGCCCTATGTAAGCGCAAAAAAAAAAATATATACATATATACTCCGACGAAACAGTTTGTCACAGCCCCTCGTTTGTTGTCCTTTTCTCTCTCTCTGCCTACGGTTTACCGGGCAGTTCTATTTGTGACGATATATATATATATATATATATATATATATATATATATATATATATATATATTTTCGGACATTTTTCGTTTTATCCGGAATTTCGGATAAACCAAATGCCGGATAAAGCGGTTGGATATTTTGGTCAATTCATCCGGATGGAAATGGTAAACAACTTAGCTATTATGGGGTGGTCCGTTGACCATTGCTGCTACTGCCGGAGGAATCCAACTTATTGTGGATGTTGTTAAGGGTTGTAACAGATTTTTGATGCAGAATTAGCCACCTGTTAAGGTCAATTTTTGTGAGTGGCTACCATTGCAGGGCCCTCAAGAGTTTGAAGGCACCAAGGCCCTCTTCACGCGAGTCTGAGTGACCCCTTTTTGAATCTTGAGTGTTTAAACCCCTTTCTCTACCTTTTAATACTCCTAGTCTAGTCTGTTGTTCGGGGGAGGAAGGCGTCGGGTGGGATTGCAATCCACAAGATCGCAGTAAGGCAGTGTGGGGGAACTGCCCACTAATTGTAGGAGCTCTGTCGGAGCGCAGGTGAGGTTTTGGAGGCGGGAACGCTCAGGTATTGCGACGTTTTACGCAAGTGATCCTGTATTTTTATAGTCGTATTGCCTTTTAGCTATTTGAAGTTTGATTGAGTTTTTTATTATTATTATTGTTGAATAACTTTGTTTCATGACTTAATTTGAAATTGGATAAAGGAAATGTGTATGAAAATCCATACAACTTACTTGAAAGCAAAGAAAACAAATTTGCTATGCAATCTGCTTGTGTTTTAGACGCTATGTCTATCTTATGTTGGACGGTTTGGTCCCACGATTCTTTTAGGGTTGTTGAACGGAGGATGAACCTAACCCTAAGTTGGGTGGTCCAGAATCTCCTAAGTTGGGTGGTCCAGAATCTCCTAAGTTGGACGGTCCGGACGCATGATTTTCTTGAGGTAGGTTGAACGGAGCATAGGTTTGAGTATACGTTCGGTGGTCTAAAATCTCTATGGTTTTTTTTTTTTTAATAAAAAGCGTTGAATTCACTCTTAAGTTGCGTGGATCCAGCTCTTTGCTTTATGCTGAGGGGGAATCAGGCAGAGACTAAGCTACCCCTAAGTTAAGGCGGCCTAGTCGTGAACTGTGAGTTTGAATAAAATAAAAGTATAGGATATGAGATAACATATATTATTTATTTGGCAGACCAGACGTACCTCTAAGTTGGGGTGGTCTAGAAAATAAAGCAGAAAAAAACAAAATCATAGTGTAATAGTGGAAGTTGAACGTGAACGGACTGAATGTACCCCTAAATTTGGGCGGTTCAGCGTTACGCCTGTGATATCATAAAATGCAGAGAGTTAGTATAAAAAATATTTATTTTAATGTGAGTAATGCAGGATTCGAAACCTCCCTAATTTTGGTAGGTGTATTGTTTGCCTAGAAGAGATAAATAAGTTGTGAAGTTAATTGTTAAATGTTGAAACTTGATCGTATCCTCAAGTTGGGGTGTGCAATAATGTGACTAATACAGGATCCAATACCTGATTAAGTTCGGTAGGTGTATCGTCTGCCTATTCGAGATAAAAAGTTGTGAATTTAATTGTCAAATGTTGAAAATTGATCGTATCCCCAAGTATGGGTGCACAGTCTCGCGTCGTCAGGCAGGTTAACCATATCCTTAAGTTAGGGTGTTTTAGTCATATGCTATATGTAACTATGTGGGAAGGCTAACCATATCCCTAAAGTTAAGGAAATCCAATTATTTGTCATATGTCAATTGTTTATGATGATTAGTCTTATTTCAATCGTCAAGGCATTTGTCCTATGTATATTGTTTACGTAGACGAAATATACCCCTAAATTGGGGCGGTCTAGCCACAGATTATGGTAGGTTAAATATGTCCCCAAAGTGAGGCGGCTTGATCCTATGCCTTATGTAAGAAAGGGTAAAGGGTAACAATTTATAGTTGAATGAGTTTAGAGTGTTTTGGCAAAGGAATTTGAGGGTTGGTGAGAGATATTATTATGCGCACTTGCGTCTCATGTGAGGATTGTTTTTTTTATTATCTTTTTGATAGTTTAGTCGTTTTAGATACTCGCAAAAGAAACAACTAAAGAAATATGAAGAGAGGGGGAGGTTGGGATAAGGTAGGCTGACCTTATCGATGATAAGAGTTTGAGTTAGTTTATGATACTCTCATAAGTTTATCCCAAATTTAGTTGCATTGTGCTTTCTATATTTGACTTGGTAGAAATTTTGGTAACCCACTTTCTTAGAGAAAGTGTTACCTAAATTATTACTAATTTAATGGAGGTAGTCAAATTCTGCTCTTGCGAAGTCAAATGTAATCTGATGTTATTTATTATCCAGTCAAAATCTATAAAGTCTACTCTCCTAGAGGAAGTGGTGTGATTTTTTTCGCTAATTCAGGGAGGGAAAAAAAAAATACCTTTGCCAACGCTTAATAGCATTTCTGATTTTAAAATTAACCTAGTAGAAATTTTGGTAGTTTGCTTGCATAAAGGAAGTGCTGCCGAAATTCATATGAATAGGAGTTCAATTTATGTTTTATTATAATAATTTTGGCAATTCACCCAATGTAAAGGGGTGTGGTGTCGAAATGCTTATCAATCTCTTAAAGCAATTAGGCAGAGGTGAGAAAAAGGTCAGTAGATAAGTGAAGCTATGATATATAGTACACCGGGAACTACACCCTCCATTTGTCTTAAGCATCGTGTTTCTGACCTGTGTTGTGATACAGGTCTACTTCGACTAGTTTGGCTAGATCCATCAAGATATGTTTTATTATTATTTTTTTTATAACAGGTCGGTTACAACTCTATTTGCGTTTGCGCGTCAACCTAGTGCCTTAGCCCCGTGGGTTTAAATGTTTATTGAGAGTTTCACCAAGAAATTGTCATTTTTTAAAACATGGGTATCTTTGTTGTAAGATGGTGGAAAATGGTGGGGGCTTGTGTGGGTAAGGTGGGGTATGTGTTGCAAATAATGATAGACCTCCATCAGTGCGTAGCATGCAGTAGTTGATTTTATGAGAATGCAAGTATGAGTGAAGATATATAATTTTAAGGTTTAACGATTGATATGGTTATTGGCACGTATTGCAATGTTAATGGATGAGTTACACTTATGACAGGGAGAGGGACGTATGTGATGTCTCACAACCTTATGTCTAAGCTACTAAAACAATTTCTTTAGCGCAACCGTTGTCGGGCCCACCCTCCAATTTATTTGGAGTTTGGGAAAATTGCCTGTTTTTTTTATTTTTTTAATACTGATCGAAATATTAATATTTAAACAAAAATGGGGGGAGGGGGAGGAACTAGGCTTTGTACCACCTGGGTTTTGGGTGGTCAGCCCGTGCAAGGACGAGGGAAGGTCCCAGCAAAAAAAAAAAGAAAAAAAAATAAAAACCTCGAAAGAAAACTATGTTATGCAGCAAACTAAACTGAAAAACTTTTGCTTTAGTGTCAAATGAAATTCTTCACCAAATTTAAAATAAAAAAATAAAATTTTAATATAATTTTTATTATTATTATTATTATTTTTTTGCCCGGTCGGGCAAGTAACCCTGGGCCACTTTGATAACCCAGGAAAGAAAAGGCGAAAAAACAAACGAAATTAGAAAAAGAAATAGGGGAGGGAAAATTATACAGGACCGCGGTTAAAAACAAAACGGACGCTAAGGGGTGGAAAATGAATTGTGGAACCTTTCTCCTGAAGGTTATTATACGGGACCGCGGTTAAAAAAAAAAAAAAAAAAAACGAATTGAAGGGGGTAACTTTAGGCTTGTCCAATGTGCTGTGTGGTTAAGTGCTTACTAATTTGATCTGTTTGAGGGGAGTAGGGTTTGAAAATTTTCAACCCGAACTCTACCTACGGAGGATATCTTTTAGCTTCGGTACGTCATTACCTCTTGTTTCTTTGGTGGACAACATATAGACGGAATTTAAAAATAAGAAAAAAGAAAGAATAAAGCAAAAGAAAAAACGGAAAGGGAAAACTGGAAAAGCAATTCATTTTGATATATGGGTATTTTTCTCAAACCGGATATGATGTTCGGTGCTTTAATTTTACCTTTTTTGCATGTGTGCGTGTGAAGGGTTTTGTACATATGTGCCTTCCATGACAAACATTATCTGTCAGGCAGGGTTTCGGTATGAAGATCAGCACATCGAGAGACCCTCTAGCAGGATAGGATACCTAATGACAATATATGCACCTTGACAAGGTGTAGCCGAAATGTTTCATACGCTTGGTGGAACTCCCTGTAGGCGCGAGACAAACACATCCGTTCGCGGAATGTCGAAAAAAACTATGCCAGAGCATCTATGCCTCCAATGCAGTTGCGGTATGACCCAGAATAAACACAAACTAACAGCACAAGCAGACACAGAAGAAAGGAAGGAAGGTAAGATAATGAAGTAAAAGGGCAGGGAGGCAACGCATGTTGGATAATAAGCCACAACATGTCACATAGATAGGACGGTACATAAGGCAAAAGCAAAAATGTTGATACAAATCATAGGATGGAGGGCACGGGGGTGTAGAAGGGTAGATGATAGGTAAGCACATAAGGCAGCGAAATGACATTTACCAAAAAATTGAAAAAAATACAAATTGATGATGATAGATTGCTTCTCCAAGTGGCACCTACTTAACAGGAGGTTGAACCCTCGACAATTTTTGGAATTTCCTTAGTGATGTTATCAATCATGAAACCTTTAACCATTGTTGCAGGTAGATTATGCACAAGTATAACGTAGCAGTGGACAATAACCTCAATGAAGCATCAGACAATGCTGCCATAGCAACTCAACTGCACAACATTGAAGCAACACAATTGCACAACATCAAAATTACCACAAGACTCTGTATGGAGTCTGCCCACCGATTGTGGGAGCTCTGCCGGAACCTAGGCGAGGTTTTGGAGGCAGGGAACTGACAGGTATACCTTTCTCTATCTGTATGACCCCCACTATACCTCTGTCTGACTACTTCCCTTTAGTTTAATTGATGTATGTTTCTGTTTCCCCTATGATTTTGCTTTCGTTCAGGATTAATAAGACTGAGTGGAAAGAATATGTGTGGAAAACTTAAGTTTCTATTTATTCTGACTGGAAGCAGACTAAGGGATGAACTGGGGAGAATGGGAGGAAGGCAGACTGCATGCGCTTGATCGGGTCAACCAAAGACCGGACATTGTTTCTAAGCTGAACGGCACAGGGCTAAATGGTGAGGGCTATGTTTTGTTTGGCTGTTTTCTGAACGGTCTGACATTGTTTCTAAGTTGAATGGTCTAGTTGCCGTGTATATTTGACTGTTTTCTGAAAGGGTCAGACATTGTTTCTAAGTTGAATGGTCTGACAGTTATGTTTATTTCTCGGGGTTTGTCTGATTTAAGGGTTTAAGTTCCTGTTTCATTCTGAGGGATTGTTTTTAAGCTGAATGTTTTAGCCTGAAGACCACGCACATAAAATTAAACTGAGTATAACAGAAAGTACATTACTTATATTTTCAGGTGAACCAGCAGTTGGACATTGTTTCTAAGCTGAATGGTCCAACGATAAGCCATATCACTGAGAAAAGAAAGGAAAGTACTAAATATAATTGGAGTTTGATTAAAGGGTTTAAGTTCCTGTTTCATTCTGAGGGAGGATTTCTGGTTTAAGGCTAAGCATTGTTTCTCAGTTGAATGGTTTAGCCTGAAGACCACATACAAAAAATTAAACTAAGTACAACAAAAAATACATTAGTTATA